GTAAACATGTGTGATAAGAAACCGCTTTTCTACGATAAGAGCATAGATACGTTCAATGTATGTACATAAAGATTGAGTCTATACAGTCATGTAACATTAGTACTTGAGGAAAAAAAAAAGGAGAAAAGAAAATAAAAGAAAATTGCAAATAAAAAGAAAAGGAGTAGTAGAATATTTGCAAAGAAAAAGAATGCAATGTTTTCATTTTTTTGCAAAAAATAAAGTTGATTTTTAACTTTTTTTTTTTTTTTTTTTTTTTTTTTTTTTTTTTTTTTTTATAAAAGATAGATTTAGAGAGAAAATATATCTGATAAATTCGAGTTTCGAGAATAAATACACGATAAAGTCAACGATTTCTATCGTGCGTATATGGATAAAATTTTTTCGAGATAGGATAGATTCTTAAATAACTCGAGTTTCTGCATGCCTTCTTCTTCGAGCGATTGTAAAATCAAACACCTTTACCGACCGACCGAGACGTGGAAGAAAAGCTTTAGTATCCGGGCAAAAGTAACGGAGAGCGATCGTCATTCCGCGAACAACTATCTTCCAATTCGGATCTTTCGCCGGTCCTTTTATAACCCGTTATTAAGTTCATTTTATTTGTTTGTTCTCGAAAGAAAAATTCATATTTCCTTTCGAGTGGATCTTATTTTTAATTCATAGTTTCTTACGTTCTAAGTGAATTATTTTGTCGTTTAAGTTTACGTTTATAGCCTACGAGTGACGTGTGACGTTATAAGAAAGAAAGAAAAAAAAAAAAAAAAAAAGTGATCTGCGATCTGCATAATCAGGAAAAATAAGATTTCTACGCAGTTTTCTCTTGATGATTTATTATTCATGAGAAAGATCGATCGACGATGTTCATGCTCGATTAACCGATATACATACTGTTCTTTCGTTACTATGTATTTTAAATTATTGTTCTTGTCGATATATGTGCTTCTTGAATATTTTTGCAAGAGATGTCGTTCGGCTTTTAAACAAACTTTTATTTTTTATTTTTTTCTCTATGCATTAATCGCAAATAATTAATTTTCAACAATAACGTTCAATAAAAGTTTACGTTTCTTAAGGATTTATAAGATTTATTACAAGATTCGCAGTCAACGACAGATCTGCTGATTTCATTAAAGATAATGTTATAATATTATCAGTGATAACTCCATGATAAACGATCAATAAATGCAAACTTTTTATTATTTATAATCTGTTTTATCAAAGTACTCAATCAAGTATTTTCGTTGGTATTTCATTGACAAAACAATATGATAAGTTAAAACTGGATTTTGCTTAATCGAGCATTTATTTAATTGATTATAAAAGTGATCTAACTCACATATTTTTCGTTTTGAGATATTTTCATATCTCGATTTGAATTACTTAAAAATTATTCTTTTATAATAATAGACAGAAAAAAAAGTATATTTATTCCGGAAAAATAATTCTCTTATGTCATTTAAATGTTTTAAAAATATTATGTGTCGAAATATGTCTATTTTGTAATATCTCAAATGACTTAGATTACTTTAATAATCTCCAGTTCAAATAATCTTCGCACGTACGTACGCACATATACATACACACACGAACGTTAATACTTAAAAAAGAAAAAGAAAAAAAAAGAAAAGAAAGAAAGAAAGAAATAATAATTAAGGATTTTGTAATCGATATTATTTACGTAAAATATACTCGACCGGTATGGTAGATTTCTTTATCAACCGAGTCCAGGTAAGTTGGAAGATTCGTTTAACTCGCTCGACACGATGTTCCGATTTCACCGCACGAGCTCATTTCATACTTGCGTAATAGCATTCCGAAGTTGGATGTAATTCGACGTAACAACGAGTTAACTACAAGATGAAAGCATAGCGTGAAAATCAACATCGTCGGATCGCTGTGTCGTCCGTTTTATGAAAACAGTCGACTTGGCAAATTTTTGGAGAATTTCTATTATTTTTTATTATTTCCGATTGATAAGATTTCATGAACAATATCGAACAATAATGAATTTTAATCATTGTTCTTATTCTTTTTTTTCTTTTTTTTTATTTTGTTATTTACATAAGTATTTTAATTTATTTGTTTTATAATTATACGTTTCTTTATATCTTATAATTTATCTTTATTGTAAAGTTATTTCAAGATTAGAATATATTCTTATAATATATTCTAATATGAATAAGATTCATATAATATGTTAATATATATTCTTTCATAATATAATAATTAAAATATTAATTAGAATATATTTTTATATGAATAAGTATATTCAAGATTAGAATTAAATCCTAAATTGAATATAGACTTAATTCTATATAATCCAATTTCTCCTCATATATATATATATATATATATATATATATATATATATATATATGTAAGAGCGGAAAATAAGTAAAAATAAAAAAATACAGTTGATATATATAGTACATAAGTTTAAGAGTATATAAATTCAAAATTACGTGGCGTAATTTAAACATTATTCAATATTGCATAAATGAATTAATTCGTGATCGTTCTTCGATTTTATATGCATTTTTTTTTTTTTTTATTAATAATTCAAGCATTAAATTCATTTGACGCACAAGATGAAAAAAAATATGCTTTTATAAATTATTCAAAGATTATTATAGTATGTGCATATGTATGAAAATATTGTGCTTGAACTTTGTATATTTTTCTTGGAAAATGCAGATTTAAAAAGCAGAAAAATATAGGGGAAAAGAAAAAAGAACAAGTGGTTTTAAGAACTTGTAATTTTACAAAATGACCGATCAAGTATCACCGTTACGTGAAAACTTTTCTAATGGATATCTGGATGGTTATTTTGATAATGTTGATCAATTTGACAATAATACTGTCAAAGGATCGTTGGATAATTCTTCACGAAATCGTGTGTTGAGGTAGTATATAAAAGAAAAGAAAAAAAAATAATAATAATAATATTGTTAACGACATAAATTATTAATGAGATTATTAATAGTGGAAATGAAGGATTTAAAAATATTCTGGAAAAATTGTTGTTGTTAAAAAAATAGTAGATAGTCCGAATGCAAATGAGGGCAATAACTATGACGTATTTAGTTTCGCAAGCGAATAACTATTACAATGAATTTCAAAAACGCATGACTCGATTATGTATTCCATTGTACTGGAATACATAAGAATTATAGAAGAGCTTCCGTAGTTTCTATTCTGCGGCTATTTTCTTTTTTTACAGTCTTTCCAAACGCGTATACGATAATCACACTGACCATTAAATTACCTATTTCGAATACATACTTTAATTCTCTATTTATCATTTATATTAATTTCATTCTCTAATTAAATTATTTATGTGTTTATTATTTTTATTTGTATTCATTTATTTATTTTTTTTTTTTTCTATAGGAGAACGAGAAGCTTAAACGCACCAAGTCCAATACAACAATTTGGACCATGTGGGCGTATAATGAAAAACTCGGCCATGGTCATGTAAGTAAATTGATTTATATGAATTATTATTTCTCTTTTCTTTTTATCGAATTTTAAACGTATTATTGAAACATTATACAAAACGATAAACAATGAAATGTTAGAAAAAAAAAAGAATAACTTCTCGTACAATCGACTGAATAATGATCGTGATCTGAAATTTATTATTCTCGTATATAATCAAACATTGGAATATAATATTGAAATTATTAAAAGTCAAATTTGTTTAATAATAATAATGATAACAATAATAATAATAATAATAATAATAATAATAATAATAAAAAGATAAGATAAAACATCAGCCAATATTGATCGCTCAGATATGATCATGCGGATGTTTGTTATGACGTCTGGAGATTCGTCGAGTTATTATTAAAAAGATATTAAAAATAAATAATCAGATTAAATATGTCGATGATATTTAATTCGAAAATTAAAAAAAGGAAGAGAGGAAGAGATAGGAAGAGAGGAGAGAGAAAGAGAAAGAGAGAGAGAGAGAGGTCAAATTTATTTAGAGAATGATTGTTCATTGTCAATGTCGTCTCATCGCATTCGATATTAATCGTGCATATGGCTTATGGTCATCGTTGAAGGCACAAAAGTCTCGTGGCCTATTTCGCAGAAACGGTACTCTCTGTAGGCGTTCACCATTCTTCGTGGCTCGAACAAGCGATCATGAAATAAATAAATGTGTGTTCGTGACGTTGTTCGCTATTCAATAAATCAATCAAGAAAAACAAATCCGATAAAAATTATATATTACTTTTTGTTTGTTTGTTTGTTTATTTGTTTCTTTGTTTCTTTTTTGTTTATTTGTTTTGTCTTCCTTTTTTTTTTTTATTTATTTTTTTTTTTGCGATCGACAGAAGTTTTCTTTCAGATAATCGTATAAGATCATGAAAGAAAAAGGAAAGATAAAGTGAGATCATTATATAGAAATACAATTTTGCCCTTGATCGATAGTGTATTCGTCTACGTTAGACATTAGAATGACATTAGTACATACGTAGTAAAGAAATATTTCAAGGTTCTTACGTCTGTGAGGTCCTTCATTATTCATGGGTATATTATTATTATTAATTAAACAAGCCGATCGTATAGGAGTATTCATCCTTTCTTCTTTTTTCCTTTTGTCCTTTTTTTTCTGTTTGACTTTTTTTCTTTTCTTTTTTTTTTTTCTTTCTTCTTTTTTCTCTTCTTTCTTTTTTTTGTCGGTTTCGTCGTCATAAACAACTGTTATAATACTTTTAACATTTTGCTTTTGGCACAAGTCTTATTACATTGCTAGAATGATCGAAGCAAAGTTCAAGAAGAATAAAAAAGAAAAATTGTCGAATCATTCGATTCACTTAAACTCTGGTGTCGCGATTGTATAATTCGAAATTGTAATAGCCTAGTCATTGCTTATGCGTACTTCATATCATTATAAATTTTATTAGACGGCATAATACAGGACGTCGATGCTTTTTATAAAAATATATATTTTGTATGGCAAATTAAAAAGCGATTCTATTATGGAATTCTATTGCATTGTGTTAACAGGTTCTGTCGCAATATATTATGTTAATAATCCGAAACGCGTCAGACCATTGGTCTCTTTCTTTTATTGAAAAGAAATTTATACGAAAAATCTAATAATTTAAAAACGTCTTCGCGAATTATGTTTCCGAATTATTAATGTCCTTTTACACGATTTCCTGATCATTCTTGTCTTTTTCTTTTTTTTTTTTTTGTTTTTGTATTTTTTGTTTTTGTACAACGCAGATAGTCACGATCCTTGATAAGATGTCTTCCTTTTTTAAAACTAATTTATTTCATTGAATTCTCTTATAGATATACAATTTCTTAAAAATTTCATCCGAGTAAATAATAATAAATATATTATATATTCTGTGTTGTAATATTTGTATTTAATTTAATTCATAATTAGTCAAATATTGTAGTTTCATAATTTATAAGAATATAATAATTTTCAATAAATTAGAAAAGTATATCAGAAATATAAATGACACGTACGGTGAAACAAAATATAGCTATGGACCAAAATTTTCTAGGTGAATCAAAATTTATAAGATATTTTTTAATATCAATTACTCTTCTTTGAGACTTTTTAAGCATGTAGTTTTATAAAAAAAAAGTAGCCTAAAAGATTTCATAGCCTAAAAAAAAAAATATTAATTTGTTTCTATTACGAATTTCCGCTCAATTAGATATCCAATATAACGCGCACTATTAGAAACGAGGAATCAAAAGTTTCATTCTCGTAAAGCGTTGTTCCATCATGAGAAAGTCACTGATTTATTGAGAGGAGATTCAATTTCTTTTTTTTTTCTTTTACTTTCATCTTTTTGTTTTCTTTTCTTTTTCGTTATCTACTTTCCTACTTTTCCTTTTTCTTCAGAAATCGAAGATCGAATCATTTTTTCTCTTTTCGTTTTTCTATCGCAAAATATTACAATTTGTTTGTATAAGTGTACTCGCGCGTGTTGTGTGTATGTTCATACGTGTGTACATATTATTCCAGTGAATGAAGCTGATGATAAATTATGCAAATTTAACGCGACACGTGCTTTTCTATGATTTCTGAATAAGAAGGTTTGCGCCGACAAGTAGTAAAACGAAATCGATCGATTCGATAAAAGAGAGATTTTTGATTTTTCTACGAGTTATTTGTTATTACAAAGTTACAAAGTACAATTTTACAAAGTTACAAGTTACAAAGTTACAAAGTTACAAGTTATTGCTAACGTTATAACGCAACGTCAATAGCTAATAAATCTCAATGGATTGAATTCTTTTCTCTTCGATTCTTCGTCATTTTGTTGTGAAACAATTTGCTCCAATTTGTTCCTAAAAGAGGAGGAGCTCTTTAAAATTACTTAGGATCTTTTGGCCCGCCTAGAAACTTTACGTCTACTCTGTATTATATGATTAGTCAATAAGTAATATTCGAATTTCGAGAATTTTATATCTAAATAAAAAATATCAGTATTTCTCATTTAAAATTATATTATTATTTATTAGACAATTCAATATGACACTATTATTTATTATTTATTATATACAAATTATTTATTATATACGAATTATCGTATAAAATATTTATTCTTCAATATATCGTAAATTATACTAACATTTTTGATTAATCGAATTTATAAAAAATATGCAATATAAATTTTAAATTAAATATTGATGTATTTAAAAAAAATATAATTTGCAAACCATTACCATACATTATTATTGTCCACGACTGTACTAAACACTCAACTTAAGTATAGATATGCTTAAAAAGAGATGAATACGAAGAAAAGAAAGATTACGTTGTATGATAGCACGTGGACAAAGCGAATGAGACGAGTACAACGCATGCGCTTTAACGTACTACCGTTTACCATTAAAAGTTCGCAACACGAGTCGTATCGTTACCAGTTTGCGAGTGACCATCGTAGAACGATAAGTGTCATTTCGTTGTATCTTTTACAACGGCATTATGGTTGGAACTGTTAAGTGAGTTAAAGTGTCGTTAATGTGTAAATTAAACTTATTATTATTTTTATATCGATTATTTCGTAGCTATTTTAAAACGATTACTTACACGTTATGCTATATCATTTAATGTATTTTTTGTTTAATTAATTAATTAATTTTTTTTTTTTTTTTTTTTTTTTTTTTTTTTTTTTTTTTTTTTTTTTTTTTTTTACTATAAGAAATAACGAAGGATAATTAAAAGTTGTGAAGGAAGTGTTACTATACAAATTAATTAATTGAAAAAAATGTGTAATTAACGTTTTTTTTTTATTCTCGATACTACATTTACGGATAATAATTATTTATATTGAAACATATGATATTGACGGATACATTAAAACATTGTTTTTTTTTCTTTCTTTTTTTTCTTGGTTTCTTTTTTCATTATAACATTAGTTAATATCATGACACTCAATGAAAGTTAATATAAATCGGTAAAAAATAATATACATTATTCTTTGACTTTAAGTAGGAAATTAAAAATTCGTCAGATTTATGTGTTCAAATTGACTAAATTTAGCGTTAATATTATATATATATTTATATATAACAATAATAATAATAATAAAATAAAGATGGAGGGTAAAAAATGCAGGAATTTTGAAAAATAAGTAAACAAAATTACTGAAAAAAAATTACTTCGCATCGAAAAATATTCTTTAAGTACGTAAGTTTTTCCGATTGTTCGAGCATTCTGAGGCGTTTGAAGAACGCATTACTGAGTCCGATTTAAATAGCGTAATTATTGAAGAACGCGCAGATAGGCAGGTAATTCGTTGATTTATTTTCTTAGCACGAAGTAAGTACTTTTATCTTGATCAGGAGTCTAAGTTACGTGTGTCTATGACGACGATTACCGTGTCTTATGAATTATTATTAGGTAAGGTTTTCTACGATCGATAATGACTCGAACTCGATGGATCCCCGTCGCCTCGACCTCCTTCATATAAATTTTTCATTGATCCGTTTGTTACTTTGAACCTTAGAACACTATAATAATGCGAATTGGAAAGGAAAAAGATAAATTTAAAAAAAATGAAAAGTAAACCAAAGAAAATAGATAAATAGAAAAATGAAATATAATAAATGAATAAAGCTTTAGAAATAAATCATACATGAAATATTCAAGTAATTAAAGCTGAACAACTGATTATATTAATAATTGAAAAGCTATTCTTTCCTAATGACTCAGCTTAAATTCATATATTCATTATTTTTCATGGGTCATGTACGGCCGGAAGTTTTATAGATTGTTCGGGATCATTAGAGTCAAGTCCAGGTATATAAGTAGGGATACATATACATATATATATAAACTGGAAATGCATTCGTAGTTTTTAGTTATACCGAATCATATTATCGAACTTATTGGAAGTGTTTACGACGAATGACGTCTCCGACAAAATGTTTTTCAAACGAATCTTCGATATCACCTGAATATATTATATCGAAAATTTATCGCAATAATGTAAGAAATTTGAATGACGCGATTTACAGGACTATCCAGGATCCAGCTTCGCAGAGGTTGACTTGGTACAAACCTCCGCTCACTGTCCTCGTAATAAAAAAGGTCCGTGATTCGTCGGTACTACCACCGTTTGTTCAGTTGGTAACATGGTTGATAGAAGTAAGTAATTATGATCCTAACCGTAAAACGTGATTACCTTGTGTAACTTAGCACTGAAAGAAAAAAGGAAACGTGATCATTGTGAATGTGTTTTTGTATAGTGATAAAAAGAGATAAAAATATACAGTGAATATATATTCTTTTTTCTTTTTTTTTTCTTTTTTTTTCTATTTTTATTTTTTTTTCTATTTTTATTTTTTTTTTTTTTTTACTGTTTCTCTGCAATAATTCATCAATTACACAATTAGTATCTTGTCAATAATCGTTATTTATATAGTTTTTCTTGGTGGAATCTAATAGCGTTAAAAGAATTATTCGACTATTATACAAAATTTGTTGATCGCACGTTAATCAACTGCTATCTCGACGCATAGATTTGTCTTATACATTATTATTGCTTCATGCTGTACATGCATTGGAAACTAACGATCTTTCTGCATGCGATCTTTCTTATACGAATGCACCTTTTACCTTGCACTTTCTCGAGAAGAAGGTTCAAGAGATGTTTTTTTTTTTCCTTTTTTTTTTCTTTTCCTTTTTTCTCAGTTTGGTTTTTATTTTTCAAATAATTTCAATGCGAGGCACGATCATCAAAGCGTATCAATGTATATTAAATGTGCATACGTGATTATACGGTTTTTTCGTTATATACGTTATTTATAACAAAGAAATTGTGTGTACGATTTTTTTCTTCTTTTTGTTTCTTTTTTTTTCTTCTTTTTTTTTTATAATAAAAATTATATCATTTTTCGCTGAAATTATGCAAACGGAATTGGAGTTCGTGTTTATCAATATGATACTTGAATTTTTTTATCGCGTGATGATAAAGAATAACTTTCGACTCTACTCAAGTATTTCACGCACTGTACAGCTATTTTGCAAACCAATATCACGTGATCGTTAATTCTAATCGTAAATCTGTATTAATTGATACGTGTATATATATATATACATATATTGGGTTGGCAACTAAGTGATTGCCAGATTTTAAATAAGAAAGAAACGACAAAATCCGCAATCAGTTAGTTGCCAACCCAATATATACACACACACACACACGCATATATATACACACACACACACGCATATATATATACACACACACACACATATATACACACACACACATATATATATATATGTGTTTGTATATGTATATAACAACTTATGATAATTCGTAGGAAAAACGTATGGTCGTATTTGTGGAAGCAACTGTACTTGAGGATTCGGCTTTGGCTCGAGATCTAAGATTTCAAGGGGTTCGAGATAGATTACAAACCTTCCGTGATGGAACCGATGATCTACAGGTAATTAAATTAATTTATTTGAAATTTCTCAAGATTTCTCTATACTGATAGATCACAATAAATCAAAACATTCGATTGTTGCAATATAAAAATATTTACAATTTATTTATATCGATAATATGTAAAATATTATCAATATAAATTAAATTTATTTAATAAAATAATATTATTTAGTATTTGTAACAAGCATTATAAGTTTCTTTTTTTTTTCTTTTTTTCTTTTTTTTTTTTTTATATACATAAAAAACATATATTATCGATATAAATATAAATTAGATTATAATACGGTAATGTATAAATCGTTCCTCTATAATCGTATAATCAGTCACGAAGATGATTCTACGTGATAACAGGAATGACAAGAAGTAAATTGTGACGCCGTTCATAGTTATAAATACATACACGTGCAGAAATAGAAATGTGATATCTTAAAATTTACAATTAATACAGGCATATCAGATGTACATATGTATTTTATTTTCTAATTGATTTTTCTCATAAAACGAAGTCTTAAATAGAACAAAAAAAATGTTATTCCCTCTTTTCAATTTATTTTTTTCATGTAAAATTATTCCCTAGCCATTTATATTAGAATTAGAATATGGACACCCTATGCATATATACAGAGTCTTTTATTTTACACATAATTATCTCCTTAACTATTTATTATACAGAAAAAAACGTTTCAAGCAGAATTTAGCTTTTTTCGAGTGGAACATCCTGTAATTACCACAAATTTTTTCTAAACGGACATGTCTTCATTTTTAGACTTTGTGAATTTTTAGACTTTCAATGAAATTAATTGACATTTAATATACAATTATAAAAACAAAAGTCTTCTTGAAATCTTGGAGACATGTTCATCTAATCAAAATTTATAATGTTTAGAAAATTTTTTTTAATAACGATATATAGTTCGAGAAATAATTATATGTAAAACTTTAAATGGGACATCCGGTATAATAATAATAATACGTGTGTATGTATGTGTATGTTTATATATGTATATATATATACACACACACACACATGAAACCTTTATATTTATAATATATTTGAAATATGGAAGAGAGTAAATTAAATATAATTGAAAGTAGACAAGATAGAGTTTATTGTAAATATCACAAAAAAAAAACACAAATTTAACGCTTATCACTCGCAATAATAAACTAATTGCTCACTCATTCACATTCTTTCTAAACTACAACTTCTTTTTTTCCATAAACAAACGTTCCTCGCCAAAGACAAATCACGCTCTCCTTACTTCTCACATGTACATTAAACACGACTAATTAGATCTGAAACCTTCCATCCCTTTGTTCAATTTCCCTTCCCTTCGTCGACATATTACACATGATTAACTTGTTTCTGAAACTTTCTATCCCACATATGTATATAATATATAGATATTATGTATTATAATATGTAAATATTATAACAAAATATATATGTAAAAAAAAATAAAAATATATTTATAACATAGATTTTAATTATTATTTTAATATATGTATGTGTATGTGAATATATATATATATATATATATATATATATATATATATATATATATATAGATAAAATATTGTTGAAATAAATAAAAAAAAATAGTATGAATATATTGGAATGTAAAAAATTAATATTAAGATCGTCGCATCTATTTTACAGGATAGAATCGATTTTATAATATGTTTGGGCGGTGATGGCACGCTACTTTATGCCAGTCTTCTCTTCCAACAATCTGTGCCACCTGTAATGGCATTTCATCTCGGTTCCTTGGGTTTTCTTACACCCTTTGAGTTCGACAATTTTCAAGAACAAGTTACGAACGTACTTGAAGGTAAGTCGAAAGAAAAATCTAATACTATTTTATTCAATCGTAGATCTAATATCATATTGTTAGTTAAATCGTATCGAAAAAAGAAAAACAAATTCTACGAGCCAAAAAAAATCCATCTTCAACAGTCGAAGAAAGAAAAAGATTGTGTCGCAAAAAAATCATAAATAATAAAAATGGAATGCGCAGAAGTGAGTTTATATTAATACTTGAAAAGCAAAAACGTAGGTGTCGATCTCCCTGTTAATCCATCGAGTCATCAACATTTGATATCTATGAATCATTGCTCGATCATAAGTTTTGAGAGTGTACATTTTTATCTCGAATCTTTTTCAGTTTTAAAATACACACAAAATTCAATTCTCTTTCTACTTTAATATATATATATATATATATATATATATATATATATATATATATATATATATATATATATATATATAGAAAAAAAAAGATTTATTTCCCATCTTATCCTTTTTCTTTTCATTTTTTTCTTTTGACATACGTTTCTCCTTCTTCTTGTTTGCTTTTTATAATATTACAAAAATATTCTCTCGTAAAATAATATTAAGCTAATGAATTATCTTCGATCGTGGATATAATTAAGGAAGCTCGTTCGACAGGCACATTTTCCTCCTTTATTTTTTCATGATTTTAAGTGTATTGCTCTCTGTGTGCAGGTCATGCGGCCTTGACCCTCCGGAGCCGTTTAAGATGTATTATTATG